TGTTTATATATTAAATATATTTATATATAATATAAATTATATGAATATAAATATATACATGTAAGTATTTTTGAAATATATACTGTATGTGTGTGTATTTATATATACATAATAAATATACACAGTACACACACATATATTATGTAAACAAAAACTTTTATTTTGGATGTGATTAATCGCGATTAATTATTTGACAGCACTGTTTTTTATTATAATATTATTATAATTGTATCTGATTAAAATATGTAACATAATATAAACAATAATAATAAACCATGTTAGCTATTTATTATTGCATATTATTACAAATTAGTATTTCAATCAGTTACCTTTGGTTTATACTTTTATTCCATGACAGAAGTTAGTTTCCATAATTTTAGTATTTGACCTTAAACCTAAGAATGAAATGTTTATGAACAGAGTTTTTATTTTATTTCAGTTAACATTTATTTTAGGGCACATGTTTTTCGTCTGGCTGATATGGTCTGATATATGTGTTTATAGTGGCATCCGGTGCGTCCGATCATCGCCTCCATCTCCAGCGGTGTCGTGTCCATCTGGGCTCAGAACCAAGTGGTGAGTGAATAGAGCAGCTCCTCACTCGAGTGAGTGAGTGAGTGAGTGTAAAAGTGAGTGAGTGCGTGTGAGAGTGAGTGCGAGTGAGTGAGTGAGTGAGTGTGTGTGCGAGTGAGTGAGTGTGTGTGAGTGAGTGAGTGAGTGAGTGAGTGTGTGAGGCGAGTGTGAGTGAGCGAGTGTGCGTGAGTGAGCGAGTGCGTGAGTGCGCGTGTGAGTGAGTGAGCGAGTGTGCGTGAGTGCGCGTGTGTGCGTGAGTGAGCGAGTGCATGAGTGAGTGGGTGAGCGAGTGTGAGCGGGTGTGCGTGAGTGAGTGTGCTTGAGTGAGTGTGCGTGAGCGAGTGTGCTTGAGTGAGTGTGCGAGTGAGTGTGCGAGTGAGTGAGTGTGCGAGTGAGTGAGTGTGCGAGTGAGTGAGTGTGTGAGTGAGTGTGAGAGTGAGTGCGAGTGAGTGTGTGTGCGAGTGAGTGAGTGTGAGAGTGAGTGCGAGTGAGTGCGTGTGCGAGTGTGTGTGCGAGTGAGTGTGTGTGCGAGTGAGTGTGTGTGCGAGTGAGTGTGTGTGAG